AGGAGGAAGGAGAATCCAGAACTGAGATTTCATTGGTGTACAGCACTTTTCAAGAGGAAATTATCTTCTGTTCATTACAGTCTTAGAGCATAAATTTCAGGGTGTCCGTGAACTTGGATGGGAAAAAAAATTGCATCTTTACTGTCACTCATCACTAAATGAAATTTAGCGAACCCTTCAACTACTAATATTTAGAAAACATTCTAATATAGACAGCTGATACATATGTTAATATGTATATGACTAAAAGATATGAACAAACAGTTCTCTAAGGAAAAATTGCACACTACTAACAACCACATGAAAAAGAGTAACAGAAATTTAAATCAAAATAACTCGCGAGATTTCACATCACACCCAACAAATTGGTAAAGATGACAACACGTGACCAGAGTCAATAGTAGAGCTCTTCTGGGAAGATGAGCGAACCAGTACATAGTCCGTGGGGCCATGAATCACTACCATCAGTAGTACTATCATTATCAAATTATGCAAATAAAACAACAAAAATGTCCAGACTTTAAAGACACTCTCCTTTCTTCCTCAATGAGTTCAGTGCTCACAAGTATTCTACATCCATGTTCATGAACTCTGTTATTCCTTTATCTGATCATGATCTGTTGTCATTCCACCTCTTTTTGCCTTGCAACTCCAAACCCTGTTCTTCCTCCTCACTACAACATCTAATTCCTCCACCCTTCTACCCCTCATTTCATTCCAAAACCACCACCTCTACACTGGCTACAATCTCTTCCCTGCTTCATCTTCACCCGCGGTTCCACTTTACAACATACTCTTATGTCCTTTGACCCTTTATCTTATCAAAGAGCTTATCTTTCCAAGCACCTGCCTTGTATTACTCCCCACTCCACCGCTTCTGGCTCCTCCTGAAGAATGGAGCTGGACAAAAATGCAAAACTATACTGATGTGGCACTCTAAAAGTTTACGACACAATTTCAAGGGGACACTCAGTGTGGCAAGATAATCCTTTTATACTTCCCTAATTAATTCAGTATCTCATTCACCATAGCAGCTTTTCCAAACCTCTTTATCCCTCCTAGAGCTCCCTGTCCCCCAGCCTCTCAGCTGAGAACTTTCCTCTCATTTCACTGAAAAAATGTTAGACATTCACCAAGAGATCCTTCTTCTCTTCATCTCACACCACCCAGATGCCTTCTACCACTATCTCCTCCTTCACCTCTGTCTCATTCGAAGAGGTGGCCCTTCTCCTTGCCAAGTAAACCTGTCTACATGCACAAGTGACCCCATTCTACCCCATCTTCTCCAGCAGGTTTCTTTCTTCATCATCCTCACTCTCTCAAATATCTTCTATCTCTCCCATCTACTGGCTGCTTCCCTGCTACCTATAAATATGTCCATGTCTCCTCTATCTTCAAAAAACCCTTAATTGTGCTATCTTCCCCACTAGAAAGGTGTCTACAATCTATGCTTCCACTTCTTTTCCTGTCACCCTCCTAACTTCATACAGTCTGGCTTCTGACCTCATCATGCAACTGAAACTTCTCTCTGCAAAGTTACTAATCATCTTTTAAGGGCAACACCTAATGGCTTCTTCTCAATCTTTACTCTTTATGATCTCTCTGCAGCCTGGTGCATTATCAATCACCTCTTCTCCCTGAAACTCTCTTCTCTCTAGGGTTTTCATGACACCACTCTATCCTCATTCTCCTCCTACCTATTTGACCACTCCTCAATCCTCATTGCTTGGTCTTCTAGGTCACACCCACTCACAGCTGGTATCCTCCAAGACTCTATCTTGGGCCCCCTTATCTTCTCCCTCTATATTATTTTACTTGGTGATCCCATTAATTCCTATGATTTCCATTACCTAAGCAGGTGATTCCAAGATATACCTGTCTAACATTATTAACATTTTTTCCAACTTCCAGTCTAGCATTTCCAACTGTCTAGTAGCTTGAACTGGATGTCTCATAAACATCCTAAAGTCAGCATCTCCAAAACTGAACTCAATTATCTTTTCCCCCTAAGCGTTTATCCCATCCTAACTTCCCTATTACTGTTGAGGGCACTGCCATCCTTCCAATCACCCAGGCTTACAAAACATAAGTATCATCCTCAACTATTCACTTTCTCACTCCCATATCCAATCAATTGTCAAGTTATGTCTTTTCTACCTGTATATGTCCCATTGTCTCCTCTGATAGCACCACTCCCTCATCGCCTCTAGCCTGGACTGTTACAATAGCCTACTGATTGATCTCCCTGACACATGTCTCTCCCCACTCTAATCCATCTAAGAGTCAGCTGTCAGATTGATCATCCTAGGACTAAGGTCTGATGATATCATCTCCCACACCATTCAATAAAGTCCAATGATTCCCTATTATCTCCACATTTAAAATCTTCTGCTTGGTCTTTAAAACCTTTCATTATATGACCTCTTCCTATCTTTCCAATCCTCTTACACCTTACTCTTATCCACACACTATACTATTCAGTGACATTGGCCGTCTTGACATTCCTCACAAACAACACTCTATCTACTAACCCCAAACATTTTAACTGGCTGTCCTTCATGCCTAAAATTAGAATTAGAATTTAGTTCAGAATTAGAGCTAGCTTCCCCGGCTTCCTTCAAGTCTCAGTTAAAGTTCTCACTTTCTGTAAGAAATCTTTCACAGTTCTCCTTACTTCCAGCCTTCCCTCTGAGACTACCCTCAAATATCCAGTATGTACCATTTGCACTCCTACATTAGACTGAGAGCTCCTTGAGAGCAGAGACTGTCTTTCACTTTTCTTTGTATGTCCAGCCCTTAGCACAGTGCCTGGCATATAGCACATGCTTAATAAATGCTTACTGACTGATCTTTGATCCAGATATTCTATTACTTAAATCCTCCAAGAAGGTCACTGATAAGAAGAAAGTTTTCACATATTACATAATATTTAGAGTAACATTTTTTTTTTGTGGTAGTAAAAAATTAGAAAAAAAAAAAAGAACTGGAAACAAAGTAGACACACATCAATTGTGGAATGGCTAAGTAAACTATGATACATGAATGTGTTGAACTATCACTGTGCCTGGAACATAGAAGGCTCTTAATAAATGCTTGGTGATTAACTTTGCTATAAGAAATGACAAATATGATGAATAGAGAGAAGATGAAAAGATTTACATGATCTGATGCAGAGTGGAGTAAGTGGAAGCAAGAAAATAATATCACAGTGACAACAATGTAAATGGAAAGAATCATCAAACAATCAAAAATGAATGCTGCAAAATTACAAAGAACAAGCATAGCTCTAAAAGAAAATATGAGAAGACACTGCCCCGACACTCTTTTGCAGAGGGAGGAGGTTCATGAGCATGGGACACTGCATATATTTTCAGATTTTTTTTCTATGCATTTATCACTTTTGCTGATTCTTTTTCTCTTCCTCTTTTTTTTTCTCTAAAGAAAAGTATTTGTTATATGAGATGACTATTGGGGAGGGCAGGGATTCTGGGAGAAATTCCAGTGATATAAAACAAAATATCTCAATGAAAATTTATTTCAAAAAATTATTCTGAGAAGGGGACCATAGGTTTCACCATACTGTCATTGGGGTTTTTGACACAAAAAAAGCTTAAGAATCCCTATCTTACAGAATTATATGAGGCAATGAGTGGTTCAGCAATTAGACCAGGGTCACATAACCAATTTATGTTGGAGGTGAAATTTAAACCAAGGTCTTCCTGACTCCAAGGTCAGTCAGTCAGTCAACATGCATTTATTAGTAAGTACTTATGTGCCAGGCACTGTGCTAAGCACTGGGAATACAAAGAAAGACAAACATACTCTCTCTATCCTCAAAAAGTTCACATTCTAATACAGGCAACAGAAAGTAAACAACTACATACATACAAAATACATATAGTTGGCTCTCTATCCACTGTATTTGGTTGTTACTTAGATGAATTAAAGACAATTAAAAAGACTATTAAACCAACCAATTGAAACATTAAAGAAAAACCACATTTAAGACTAAAATTACATCTTCAAAATAATCATATAACAAATCAAAGGATAAGTATATGGCTTAACTTTTGGATTTAATGTGTGATATTCCCAAGTCTGATTTTAGAAACTTAAAATAGGCCCATGTTTCTTACAGAGTAAATAATAACTGACATTTATATGAGGTTTTATTTAGGCTTACAAAATGTTTTACATATATTATTTCATTTGATCTTCTCAAAACTGTTGGTCTATAAAAAGCCTTACTAATACCTAAAGCCCTAAGCACCTAAAAAAATTTAACCAAGATAATAAAGATGTAGGTAGCAAGCTGGTTTAAAAAAAAAAAAAGAAAAGAAAATGATTTTAACTTTAACACTTCACTTATCAACAGGTATGTCAACAGTAGTCAAATGACTGCTAAGGAATACCATGCTTAATCTGGAACATCCTCAGTGAGGACAAAAATAATACAAAACTGGATCCAGTGAGCACAGAGATGGTGAATATTTAGCAAGTTGGCATATCAGCTAAAACTAAGTAAGTATGCTTGCATTTCCTTAATATTTGGTTAAAAGGTATAAATGAAAAATAAATAATTCTTTAAAATTAAAATTGTTGTCTAAGACACCATTCATCTAATGCCTTACAAGACAAAAAGATTTAAAGTTCTTGCTAAAAATCAGCACATTAAAAAATTTTGAAGCTCTCAGTAGACAAAAGAAACAATACCGCTATTAGGAGACATCTAAGAGAGTTGGGACTTAACTGCAATTTTGAAACTAATGAAAAAAATTTAGTAAGACATAATCTATTTCTAAAATAATAGATTTTCTATTTAGGTCAAACCCTGTTAACTGCTCTAATAGATTTAGAAAGAGTTAAGAAAAAATGAGAAATAAAGAAAAATGAGACAATATCAACAGGGCAACATGAAAGTTGAATTCAATTTAATCAATATATAAAACAAGAGAGCCAAAAAGTTTAATCTATCCATAAGTTATGTTTAAATTACCCACCTTCTAAGGCTTTCCTTCTTGTCTTCCCGTGATAAGCAGCTATCCAAGTGCTTATTTATGTAGTCCTCAGGGATGCTCACACTGCAAACAGGACATTCCACTGCATTTAAAAATATACATATTATTTGGAGGAAAGGAAAAAAATAAATTTACCAATTTTCGGTGCAGAAAAATATAAATAAAAAGTCATAACAACAAAACAATAGCAATAATAGTATTTATAAAGCATATTTTAAGGTATGTCATTAAATACTCTTTTAGAAAAACAAAGTAGAAAGTCAGGGGAATGTACGGAGAACAAGGTGAGAAAAGATGTCAGGAAATTTGGAGGATCGTAAGTTAAGAATACCAAGCATGAAGTAAAAAGACTGAGAATTAGCTGGAGGTTTTCACCTATTAGTTAAATCCTTTGATAAACCTCCTTTATCTAAGGTATGCACAGCTATTTTGTGAAGACTCCACTAAAAAAAATCACATAAGCTGGAAGTAAATTACATAATAACCAACTAATTCTCTGAAATTTCTGTTAGACTGGACAGCACTATTGTTGAACCCTATTATTATCCAATTCTTCCATCCCTTTTCTTTTTCCAGTTATAAGCTTATATCAGACTACAGGCAATTTGAGGTGGAGCTAAAATGGCAGAGCATCAGGGAGAAGTGCAGCCACACTCCACTCCATAACTCCTCTATACAAACACAAAAAACACACCAGACCAAATCCTGATAGGGAAATCCAAGGAAAAAAATCAGTCATTTTTCCAGCCCAGGTCAGAAAAGGGAGATAGACAGGGGACCAGCAACACTGAGTTTTCTAGTGCTGGACAGTCTGGGCACCAGGGCAAGAAGAGTTACCCCAGTCAGCAGAGAAAATCTTGACTTTCTGAAGGGTACAAAAACAAGAGCCAAGTGGTGGCTTTATCACTAACTACCCTGTTCTGGGTCACATATATAGAGCAGACCAAGCCTAAGGGTAGCCTTTCAAAGAGGTCACAAACAATGTGAAGTTGAGAGGATGTCCATCAGTTGGGGAATGGCTGAACAAATTGTGGTATATGATTGTGATGTAACACTATTGTGCTATGAGAGATGTGAGAAATGACTAGCAGGCTACTCTCAGAAAAACCTGGAAAGACTTACATGAACTGACGCAAAATGAAATGAGCAGAACCAGGAGAATATTATACACAGTAACTGCAATATTGTACGATGATCAGCTGTGAATGACTTAACTATTCTCAGCAATACAATGATCCAAGACAATTCCGAAGGACTTATGATAAAAAAAGTTATCCATCTCCAGAGAAAGAACTGATGGAGTCTCAATGCAGACTGGAACAAACTTTTTTTACTTTTTCTTGGGTTTTTTTTGGTCTGTGTTTTCTTTCACAACATGACCAACATGGAAATATTTTGTATGACCACACATATATAACCTATATTAAATTGCTTGCTTTCTTCTGGGGGGGGGGGAGTTAATTTGGAACTCAAAATTTTTAAAAAGAATGTTAAAAATTGTTTTTACATGTAATTGGGGGAAAATAAAATATTAACTAAATAATTTTTAAAACAAACAAAGAGGCCACAAACCCTAGGCTATGTACTATAAGCATAAAGTACATTCAGAAGCCAGTAGCAGTGTGGCTCTGACCCCAAGAGCAGAGGAGGATCTCAATTACAGCCTCAAGCCAAGTCTGAAGCCTGCAGTGCAATAATCAGGACAGGAATTCCAGGGCAGACCAAAGGAGAGCCAGAAGTTCTGTCATTCCAAAGCTGTAGAACTTTCCAGCTGGCTGATAATGGCTGAGTCCAACAGCAGTCTACTGGAAATCTAACTGGAGCAAGAGCACAGGCACATTGCTCAGACCTAAGTCGAGAGCAAGAACTTGCACAGCTTAGACCAGGAGGACAGCAATCGGACTTTGCTCTAGATCAGAACACCTTGGTAACACTGAAAGTGTGCGGGTTTCTAGTCTGAGCTGCCTCTGAAATCCTGGAATAATACAATACTCAATATACCAAGAAAGTAGCAAAAGCTTGAGAGCTTTTTGAAGCAGAGACTATCAAAAGATAGTCTTTTTATATCCCTAGCACTTAGCACAATGGGTGGCACCTAGAAGGCATTTAATGTTTATTAACTGACTGAGAGAGACAGAACCTAGAGGTTACAAGGTCAATCCTGCCATTTCCACCAGAAGTGTGCAGAACCTACCCTAACATAAAGTCAGAAGTGAAAAAGTAGGATGGAAGAATGAGTAAATAAAAAAAAATCCTACCATAAAAAGCTATTATGATGACAGGGACACTTAAGATACAAAACCAGAAGAAGAGAATGGCTCCAAAACATCAACAAACAAAATCTCAGAAGAAAAACAGAGGCCAGACATTCAACAAGAATTCTTGGAAGAAATGAAGCAATAATTTTTTAAGAGCTTTAAAACTGAGAGTACAGGAGAGGAAAAACTAGAGAAGAAATGAGAGCAAGGAAGAAAGAATTGGAAAATGAATTATCAGCTTAGCATAAGAGGTACAAAACCTTACCCAAGCAACAAACTCCCTATAAATTTGAATGATGATTCCACAAAACAACTATAAATATTAAAACAAAGTCAAGATACTAAAAAAAAAAAAAAAGTGTAAATTATCTCACAGTAAAAACAACTGACCTAGAAAACTGATCAAGGAGAGATAACTTAAGAATCATTGACTACTTGAAAGCTATGACCCAAGAAAGAGTCTAAACATCGTATTTCAAGAAATCATAAGAAGACAAATGCCCAGATATCTTAGAACCAGAGGACAAAGTGGAAATAGAAAGAATCCACTGGTAACATCATGGAAGAAACCTCAAAATGAAAACTTCCCAGGAACATCAGAGTCAAAATCCAGAGTTTCCAAATCAAATTAAAAAAAAAAATACTATAAGCAGACAGAAAGAATTCAAGTACCAAACAGCCACAGTCAGGATCAATTATGATTTAGTAGCCACTACTATAATGGAGAGAAGATCTTAGAATACAGTATTCCAGAAGGTAAAAGATATAGGCTTAGAACCAAGAATAACTTAACAGAAAAACTGAGTATAATCCTATAGGTGGAAAAAAAAAATAAACCTTTAATGAAATAGAGAACCTCCAAAAATCTTGATGGAAAGACCAAAGAGCTGCATAGAAACTTTGAAGTGCAAATGCAGAAAGCAAGAGAGACATAAAAAGGTAAACAAACATGAATAAACAATCATAAAGGACTAAACAAGGATTCTAATAGAGAGAGATGATACCTAGTCTCCTAATAGGTAGGAAACGATTTATCTCCTCAGAATTCTTATCTAATCAGTGGTCAGAGAACAAATCTAATGAGACTGTGATCTGGGGAACAGGTCTGTTATGTTTTAATGATCTTAAAATGGGAAGGAGGAGAATAAACTCCGGAAAAAGGGCAAAAAAAGATTTAAGAAAGATGGGGGACATTGTCTCATATAATTGGAGTACACAAGTAAAAACAAGGAGGAAAGGAAGAGGGGATTGGGTGACATATGTACCTCATTCCCATCTGAACTGATAAAAAGAGAGAACACACACAAATGGGTAAAGAAATACATTTCAACCAACAGGTAAACAAAAGGAAAAGGGGAGAAGGGAGAGGGAGGAATAACAGCAAGGACTGTTTAAAGGAAGAATTAGTCCTAAAAACAAATTCTATCTAAAGATGTACAAAAATATGTATAGCAGCTTTTTTTTGCTTTTTTTTTCTTTTTTTACAAAGGCAAAGAACTGGAAACTGAGAGGGTGCCTATCAATTTGGGAAAGGCTGAAAGAGTTATATGAATGTGACTGAATAGTATTTTGCTATAAGAAATGATGAAAAGAATGGCTTCATAAAAACCTGGGAAAACTTTTTTGAACTGATACAGAGTAAAGTGAACAGAACTAGAAGAAAAATTTTAACAACAACAACATTATAAAAATAAACAACCTTGAAAGACTGATCAATTAACTCTGATCAATGAAACAAGCAACCATGACTCCAGAGGACTCATGATAAAACATGCTACCCACCTCCTGATATACAGCAGAGGTGATAAAATTCAGAGTGAAGATTAAGACTTCTTTTTTTTTACTATAGTGTCAGAAATAGTTTTGCTTGATTATTCATGTTTGTAACTGGGGTCTTTTCTTTTTTCTTCCTCAATGGGAGGAGGGGAGTAAGAGGGAGAAAAATCAGATTTTCTTTGACAGAAAAAAATTAGATATTTAAAAAAAAGGCAATTTGTGCTATTATTTGAGGGCGGGACCAGGATTTGGCCCTTCTTCATATTCTTCAAAATGTCTAACACAGTACACCTTACATAAAGCATTTATTCAGCCCAGTGTCTGGTACACAGTAGGCCCTTAATAAATTTTTATTGATTAAATGATTGAATGAATGAATGCAATAGAGAATAGATAATAACAAATTCATTAATTAAGGTCTTATAGGCCTAAGTAATAACCCAGAGTTTGTTGCAAAGACTCAGTCAATAAAAATATGTGGTGGCCTTATTAGACTGTAAGTGAAATTCACTTACATTTTTCAAATTTATCCACGTGTTAATATTACAAAAGATCTGTAATTTCAATAATATGGAAATTTTCTCTACTGACTTTCATTCCATACCTTGGTAGATGGCCTTTACGAGTTGTCAAAAAAATTCAGCACCTGCTAACCAACTTTCTAATAACAAAGGCGCTCATAATTTAGACAGGTTTAGACTTAAAAAATAGACACAGTCTTTCTCCATGTCTGTACATGAAGCCTTTCCAGTATGGAAACTTAGCATAGCTTGGCTTAAAAGAACCATGTGCCACCTCCAAAATGAGGCATCAGAGTAAGACCATACTAGAGGTTTTTATTAATAAACTAATTCAAACCAAATATTTAATGAAAAACTGGTATGTTCAATATGGTGCCCACTGTGTGAGTAGAGGGACTCATAGAATAAGTATGTTATATGAGACAAGCTTCTGGTTTCATATACCTCTTTCTGTTCTACTTTATATTTAGAAATGCCTATTTTATTTGGTGTTTGGTAAATTCAGAATGAAAAAAAAAATTTTTAAAGAAAGAAAACATACCCAAATGAAACAGTTAAGTAAGTCAGTATATATTCAGTCCCTTGAAATACAAAATAGATGGTCCAGGAAATAAGTATTGCAGAAGTAGTAAGAAAGAAGACATCAACGGGAGAACAAATGGTTTAGGATCTTAAGGTTGGCTATAATTTGGATTTGGGCAACGAATCCAATGAGCAAAGCCTAGGAGGTAGAAACAAGCACGGATATTCAGGAAAATGTGAGGAGATGGGCTTGAAAAGGAAATGTGTGCTAAGGAATAATAATGAGAGATAAAGTGAGAAAGTTAGAGCAGGCCAGACTACAAAAGACTCAGAATGCCAGGTCAAATTATTTGGTCTTTCTCCTATAGGTGAGGCAATGCCATTAGGGGTTTGTAAGCAAAATGACATAATGAAAGTAGTGTTTTAGGGAGATCACTCAAGGGATACTATACAGAGAAGGAAAGGGGAATATCTAGATGCACAAGCCTGGGACTTCAGTCTCAATTCCTAATCTCATTGTCAAGGGCTGGTACAAACATAAAAGCACTTGTGTCTTTTCCTCTCCTTCCACTTCAGAAATATGACCTTATATAACTGTTGTCTGGGATGAGAAGTTTTTTTTATAAAGAAGGAGAAATACAAGAAAACCATCTCCTACCTTTAGTAACTTCCTTTAAAGCAGATGTAGAGGGTTTCTCAGGGCCATTAACAGAAGTGGACCTTTGAGCCTCCCTTGATTCATTTGATGCCCCTTTTAACCCTGCAGAACTGCAGAGTTTTTTTCCTATAGGATTGACTTTATCTTCTTTGACTCTCTTTGGCTTCTCTGGTGTTTTTATAGAAGAATGATTTTCTCTCACCAAGTAAGAATCCATCATTCTGTTTTCCTGTCTTAAGGAAGAACGCATGTGCCCTTTAGGAACTTGGATTTTGCCAGAAATATTTTTTGTGCAGGAAGGCAAAGGAGATATTGGTGGTGAATCTAAGGTGAACTGCAACAGATGATTCCTTGGAGGACAAGAAACAAACTTGATTAGGACATCAAACAATGAACATATGAAGTGATCTAGATTATTTATCTGTCCCTCCCTCCACTACCCACAGTTCTCTGTTTCAAAATCTTCAGTTTTATAATGACAGTAAAACAAAAATATACCTTCTGTGATAAAAAGAGGAAGAGCTAATGTTGGAACAGCTATAGAAAAACAGGCAGAATCATGCACTATTGGTAAAGCTATGAAGTATTCTAAACATTCCAGAAAGCAATTATTCCAAGAAAGTGAATATATAGATATGACCCAAAGCTCTCGCTGTAAGGCACATACCTTAATGGGTCCCATATACATCAAAGTATTTATAGCAGTGCTTTTTTGTAGTGACATCCATTGAATGAAAAACGGCTCAAGAAATTGTGTACCACAATTTCCAACAAGATTGCACTCAACCATTAATTATCTAAGAGCTGATTAGCTTACCGGCTGCCTATATTTTGGCTATTTTGCTGCTAATTACTAAGATTTTTATCAGTACATTAAAAAACATTTTTTTGGATGTTTGTTTCTGTACTGTACTGTACTGTTTGTTTCTGTACTGTGCCATAGCTCTTCACTTTGAAGTGAGTAAGGGAAATAAAAGATCATTCTATGATCATTTAGCTGTTTGCTACTAGGTAGTAAAGCAGGTAAAATGTTGGTTAATTTAACAAACATCTACTACTTATCACTAAGGTCTTATATTGGTCACTATGGAGAATACAAAGATAAATGACAGATTCCTGTTTTCAAGTCTATAAGGAAGGGATTTTAAATTTCTGGGTAATATTTGACGTATTTATACCTGCTTTGTAGGTATTTCATATGGAACTATATAGGCATATGCTGTTTCCCCCATTAGAATTTAAGGACCTTGTTGACACAAAATATTTCATATTTTTCTTCATATCCCCATTGCTTAGAACAGCTCCTGACACATAGAAAGTCCTTAATAAATGTTTGCTGGTTGATTGATTTGTGGTTTTCAGTTGTCCTTGTCTTCCTTGCCTCTCATTAGGCAGCAAGATGATACAATGAATAGTGTATTAGACCTGATATCAGAAGTCTTCAATTCAAATCCAGGCTCAGACATTTACTAGCTGTATGACCTTGGGCAAGTCACTTAACCACAATCTGTCTCAATTGCCTCATCTGGAAAATGGAATAATAGAACCTTCCTCCCAGAGTTGTTGTAAGGATAAATTAGGATAATGTTTGTAAAACACTGCAAAATTTAAGTCTATATAAATGCTAGCTTTGATTAAATACCACTAACATGGCAGTAGCTTTTGATCACAGATTCTGAGTTGAAAGGAACTTTAATAAAGTCAAGTAGACAAGCATTTACTAAGCATCTACTATGTGCCAGGCACTGGGCCAAGTGCTAGGGATGCAAAGAAAGGGAAAAAACAAATAAAATAAAATAGCTTCTGCCTTCAACAGGATGTGAAAAGGAGCAAAGGAGGCAGATGATGCAAGTAAACTAAGAAATGCCATTCCATCGTACCCAGGTAGAAACTCTAGCCTTTCAGCACCTCCCACTGGTCCCCTCACCCGGGCTGCCAAAGGCCCTGAAACCAAACCCCTAGGAATGGTGACCTACCTGAACTTACTCCTCAATAATTAAAAACTCCCACAGGTCATACCATCCCCACCCCAGAGATTCTGAACCCTCAGCTTCAAATTCATTCTCCATCCCCCACTCCCATCCAATCCCTTATTCCCTTTCCCCTCAACCCAAGTCTCCTCTGTCACACTCTGTCCCCAATGTCACACTCTCACTCCAAAGCTACCAAGTCCTTCTACTGTGCTCTCTGGAAGACCTGCTCTATTGGTAACAAACTTTCATCTTAAATCTTGTCCTTTCCCAATCTACTCCTTCCATCTTCCAGGTTCTCTCCTGATTACACAGCAGCCCTGGATGCATGTTCACTCACGAGAGTTGGCATACTCTTTGCTCCCCATTGCCACTTCCAGGTTCTCCCTCTACAATATCACTCAGCAACTTCTCATCTGAGGTTCATTCAATTAATATCTACCATCCAATCACAATTCTGGCAGCTATTGTCTAAAACCTCCTGGATACATGCTTTCTTTCATCAATGAGTTCAGTCCTGGTTCACAGTCTCTCTTCCCCAAATCCTACCTGCATATTAGAAGACAAAAATGGTCATGCCCTTGACTTTGTTATCACACACAAATGCACCACTTCTATGTTCATGAACTCTGAAATTCCCTGATCTGATTATAATCTATTGTCATTCCTCCTCTCTTTCTACCTTACAACCCTAAACTGGTTTTTCACTCTCACCATGACCTCTAATTCCTTGAACCTTCAATTCCTTCCTAAGTTACCAACCCTGAAGTAGCTACACTTTCCTCCCTTTCCTGTGAGGGACTGTCTAATGTTGGCAGCTACCAGGTTGGGCGCTGTGGCAAGGGTAGGGTAAGATCTGGGTATTTTGGAAGTCGAGGCAGGGGCTGTGGTAGGCAGAGTCGTGGTGAACTGGGATGGGCTGGATACGGAGAAGCCCTGAGGCAATGGACAGTGCTTTGTGAGATAAGCTGGGTGCAAGGAAGTAGCCGGAGCTTGAGCTCCTGAGGCAAGGGGCAGTGCCACGTGGGAGTGGGACAGCAGAGGACTGAGTTCCCTTTGCCTAGTCCCCTCCCTATATGCAACGTCATCCCCAGATGCCTCTTGTGACCTTCCTGACTTCCTGGGTCCCTTTGTGCAGCACTGACCCAGACCCCTCCTCCCAGTGTCTGAGTCTGACTTCCTAAGTCACGTACTCTGTCTATGCGCTAATCCCAGACCCCTCCTTCCTATATCCGGTCCTAGCCTCCTACGTCACTCCCTCCCCCTTGGTGTGCTAAACTCAGACAGCCCCTTCCGGTATCTGACCCTACAATCATTGGCTAGTAAGCGGGCTGGGGAGGAGGGGCTAAGTAGGTACTTAGAACAAGCGTGGTCAGATCACATGCGTGCTCTCCCCTGGCTCCTGCCCTGTTGCTCTGGCCTTGCTGCTTGGGCTTGCTATGATGGCTTGCTGTGTTGGCCTCTGAATAAAGCTCTGGTGTTGGCGCCTCCCGATGGCTCGTCTCTGTGTGGTGATCTGGCTGAGAACCGAAGACTCGGGTGTGAGTAAGACTCTGGTAGTGTGCTTCTTATAAGAGAAGTGGGTACCGGCGTACGGCTGGCAGAAGGTCGGCGTGCAGCCAGTATACTTTCCCATCTCAAACCCTTGACGAACTGGTTCAGTTCTACACTGTCTTCTCTCAAGTCTCTTGTCCCTTATCACATCACCTATATTGCCCTGCAAATATCTTCGTTCCTACTTACTTGCTGCAGAACGGAAATAGAGAAAAACACAAAACCAGGCTGGCTGGTTCCACTACAAATTTATGTTACATAACCTCAGCTGTGCCCTCACTGTGGCAAGACAATCCTTTCACACCTCCCAAATTAACTCACTATTCCACTCACCATAACAAGCTTTTTCAAACTTTTTCATGCCTCCTCAAACTTCCCACAGTTCCTCCTCCCTCCATCCTCTCAGCTGAGAACTTTGCCTCATATGTCACTAAAAAAAAGCAAATGAAGCCATTCACCAAGGGCTCCTACCCTCCTCTTCATTCCATATCACTCAGATGCCTTCTGCCACTATCTCTTCCTTCACCTCTGTTTCACATGAAGAGGTGACCCTTCTCCTTGCCAAGGTAAACCTTCCTACATGCACAAATGACCCCATTCTATCCTGTCTTCTCCAGCAGATTACCCTTTCGATCATCCTCTTCCCACTTATTATCTTCAGTCTCTCCCTGCCTGTTTCTCTACTACCTACAAATATGTCCATCTACCCCATTCTCAAAAAACCTTCACTTGTTCTGCCCATCCTCCCAGCTATTGTCCATATCTCTATTCCCATTAGTGGCTAAACTTCCTGACAAAGGTGTCTACAATCTATGCTTCCACTGTGCTTTCTGGCTTCTGACCTCATCATTCAACTGAAACTACTCTCTGCAAAGTTATTAATGATCTCTTAATTACCCAATCTAATGGCTTTTTCTCAATCTTCCTTCTAATTTGATTTATTCTTCATTTTGATTTCTCTCCAGCCCTGTACACTGTCAATCACCCTCCTCTTGATATTTACTCTCTTCTCTCTGGATTTTCATGTCACTGCTCTCTCCTGGTCCTCCGCTACCTGACTGACTGCTCCTTCTCAGTCTATTTTGCTGGATTTTTATCCAGGTCACATCTACAAACAGGGATGTCCCCAAGGCTCTGTCCTGGGCCGCCTTCTCTTCTCCCTCTATACTATTTCATTTGGTGTTCTCATCAACTCCTATGGATTAAATTATCATCTCTATACTGATGATTCTCAGATCTACTTATCTAGCCCTAACCTCTCTGCTGACCTCCAACTGCCTACTGGACATTTCAAAATGGATGTCCTATAGACATCTTAAATCCAACGTGTCCAAAATTGAGCTCATTATCATTCCCCAAAAATCCTCTCTTTCCTAACTACCCTATCACTGTCAAGGACCCCTCCAATCCTTCCAGTCACCCAGGCTCCCAAACTAGGTATCATCCTCGACTTCTCACTCTCTTACTTGCCATATCCAATCAGTCATCATGTCCTGCCATTTCTACTTTCAGAGCATTTGCCATCACCCCCTTCTCTCTTCTGACACTGCCATCATCTTGGTGCAGGACCTCATCACCTCATGGCTGGACTACTGTAATAGCCTACTGGTGGGTCTCCCTGCTCCAGTCAATCTCACACTAAGCTATCAAAGTAATCTTTCAAGAGTTCTGCTTCCAGGAGCCAAGATGGCAGAGTAAGAAGTAAGTTGCTCTCACTTCCCTTACTGACTTCTGAAAGCCCAGAAAATATCGCCCCAGGAAAAACCCTGGAACAGTGAAGCCAGCAGAAAGATGGGGTGCAGCAGTCTTGTAGCCCAGGAAGCTTGAGGAAATTAACAGGAAAGGCCTTCTCACTCTGGGGGTGGGGGAGCAGTACAGGACAGGAGTTGTCCCAGCAAGCCAGCAACAAGCCCCACCTCAGCAAATCAGGGGCAGATCCTGAGCCCCAGAGTGATGGATCAGGCAAGCACCAATACCAGCACCGCTGAGCACCTCAGCACAGGCAGGGGAACCAGTAGACACCAGCTCGGAAAACCACCACGTGCTCCAGCATTCGCCAGCAGCCAAATCTCCTGGAGCTTCAGCACAACTCCAAAAAGCACAACTCCAAGAGACATAGTTCCAGGTAGGCAGACATCCTCCAGCAACCAAACATTTGAGTGCAAGGCCCAGGTGAGCAGAAGCTGTCATTCAAGTGCAAGACCAGGGTGAGCAGGTGACCCCCAGGGGCCAGACTCCCTACCTCCACCCTGAGAGCTCCAGTGTTGCTGACCCCAGCTCAGCACCAGGTAAGCTGCCAGCACCTGAGGTCCCAGCACACAAAGCCAATAGCCAGGTCCTGGACTCCTAGCACAAGAAGCTTGGGTCAGCACCTCCTGTGCTCCAGCAGGAGAGCTTACCTCTAAAAGTCAGGAATTAGGCAAACACCATAAGCAAAAAGCAGAAACAGACAATGATCAGAGATTCTTATTATGGGGACAGGGAAGATCAAGGCATAAATTCGGAAGATAACAACATTGTCAATACACCCACATCTGAAACCTCAAAGGGGAATATGAACTGGTCTCAAGCTGAGCCTTCTTGGAAGGGCTCAAGAAGGATTTTAAAAGTCAAATAAGAGAGGTAGAAGAAAAATTGGGAAAAGAAATGAGAGGTATGCAAGAAAGAGTCAACAGCCTGGAAAAGGACAAAAATTGACTGTAGAAAACAAGTCCCGAAAAAGTAGAATTGGCCAAATGGAAAAGGAGGCACAAAAATTCACTGAGAAGAACTCCTTAAAAAAAAAGTAAAATGGGCCAAATGGAAAAGGAGGTACAAAATCTAATAGAAGAAAATAATTTTTTTAAAAATTAGAATTGGGCAAGTGGAAGCTAATGACTCTATGAGATATCAAGAATCAGTCAAACAGAAACAAAAGAAGGAAAAAAATAGAAGAAAATGTAAAATACCACATTGGTAAAACAACTGACCTGGAAAATAGATCCAGGAGAGACAATTTAAAAATTATTGGTCTACCTGAAAACCATGACGAAAAAAAGAACCTGGACAACATCTTTCAGGAAATCATTAAGGAAATTGCCCTGAGGTCCTAGAACCAGAAGGTAAAATAGTCATCAAAAGAATCTACCAATCACCTTCTGAAAGATATCCCAAATTGAAAACACTAAGGAATATTGTAGCCAAATTCCAAAATTACCAGGTCAAAGAGAAAATACTGCAAGCAGTCAGAAAGAAACAATTTAAATATCATGGAACTACAGTCAGGAGTACACAGGACCTTGTAGCTTCTACATTAAAAGATCAGAGGATGTGGAATACAGTATTCCATAAGGCAAAGGAGCTTGGATTACAACCAATGATCAACTACGCAGCAAAATTGAGCATGATCTTTCAGGGGAAGAGATGGACATTCAACGAAATATGGGACTTCCAAATCTTCCTGATGAAAAGACTTGGAGAACAGAAAATTTGATCTTCAAATACATGACTCAAGAGAGGCATAAAAAGGTAAATAGGAAAGAAAAAAAAAACAACATGTTATTAATAAGGGCAAACTGTACATATCCCTACAAAGGAAAATGGCACTTGTAACTCTTGAGAACTGTATTGTTATTATGCCTTTTAAAAGGGGTATACATAGACATGGCATGGGTATAAGTTGACTCTGATGTGATGATAAAAAATCTAATTAACTGATGAAAAGGGATAGTACTAGGAGGAGGCAGACAAGGGTAAATTATATCACATGAAAAGGCACAAAAACCTAGAAGAGGGAAAGAAGGGAGGGAAATGAGCATTATTTGAACCTTACTCTCATCAAATTTGGCTCAAAGACAGAATACCATAATCAGTTAGGAACAGAAATCTAACTTACCCTATAGAAGTAGGAGAGGAAAGGGGAAAGAAAAGGAAGGGGGTGGATAGAAGGGAGGGCGACTGAGGGAGATGGTGGTCGAAAGTAATCTTCCTAAAACATAGGTCTGACTATGTCACTCCTCCATTCCAGTGACTCCCTATTCCCTCCTGGATCAAATATCAAATCCTCTGTTCAGCTTCAAAGCCTACCTTGCACCTTTCTAGCTTTCCCATCTTCTTATCCCTTACTCACCCCTACATACTCTGCAATACAATGAAAATGACCTTTCAATATTCTTCACACAAAACACTCCACAACTGAATCTTTGTCTGGCTGTCCCCCAAACCTGGAATCTTCTCCCTCTTCATCTCTGTCTCCTGGCTTTCCATGCTTCCTTAAAGTTTCAGTTAAAATCCCACCTCTAAAAAGAAGTCTTTCCCAATCCCCCTCAATGCCAGGACCTTCCTTCTAGGACTAGCTAGAAAAGGCTCTGAGTCATCTCAGTAACAAACTGAGTCTACCCTGAGGACCAGCCTCACTAACAATGGAGAGGCTTATTGCCAGTAAGGAACCTAGCCACTCAATGATGAATTCTTTGGCTATGATAATCCATAAAAATGAAAAATACAAAATGGCCCTCAGTCCTGTGACAATTTCTGTTGTTTTTACAGTGATAATGGAAGAATCATTGAAAGAAAGAAAAGAAATATACATTTTTTAAGCACCTACAATGTGCAAGGCACTGTGCTAAGCACTTACAAATATTATCTCATTGGATCCTCACAACAACTCTGTGAAATAGGTACTATGGTTATCCCCGCTTTACCATTGAGAAAACTGAGGCAAATAGAAGTTAAGTGACTTGCCCAGGGTCACATAGCTAGTTAGTGTCTGAGGTCACATTTGAACTCAAGTCTTCCTCACTCTAGGCCTAGAGATCTATCCACTGTGCCAGAATCATACAAACTCTGGACCATCTACTATGAAACATTAAATATCAAAGGGAATAATACACCAATATACCAAGAACAAATACCATGTGATATTACCAAATGCCTGCAATAAGAGAAAAAAACAACCAATTGGCCACTTCAGGAGAGACTAAACAAGAACTTACAATGGAAAAAAAAAATGTATGCAAGAATCCATACAAGTAGTTAAAAAAAAGTACTTAGCTTATCCATTAACATATTCCAAAAGATCTTGCAAGTAGCAAGGCAATAAAATCATCCAGATAGTCACAAACTAGGCTAAAAACCAGGGTGTCTTATGTTTCCAGTGTTAGTAGTTTAGTAAGAATTGCTTTTCAAAACAGGAGAGTTACTAGAACATATAAATATACATATAATCCCAAGTATCCTAAACAAAAAGTGTGTATGTGGAGGATATATTCCAATGTAAATTATTATAATGAGCAAGAAAAGGAAGATGGGAATTAAACATAAAATTAGATCATACCGTGCTGAACTAAAACTTTTTACCAGTTCATCTAATACCCGGTTATTTTTCAGGTCAGGCTCTGTGACTGTCTAGAAAAGAAAAACAACAGATGGAAATTACTCAAATAGGCAATAATTAACCTGTCAGAATCTTGTTTTTACAAAATGCATGACACTTTCTGCTATCCCTCATCCTTCTCTACTACCCCCATCATGACCTCATCCCATTAAAACTTCCAGGAAAGGTTAAAAAATAAATTTCATGTAACCTATACCACTATATTCTTTTCAAAACAATGAATCAGTATCTAACCAAAGATCTGATGAAAGGCCTCCAAAGCATTTGGTAAAAACACTACTGTCTATATTGTCTACAGACAAATCCTATTATGGGCAAGACTTCTTCAAATCCTCCAATTCAATGGGCCTACATATGCTTCCACGGAGAGGTAACAAACATGTGGATTGAGAGGAGTAGCTACTGAGAGAGACCATCTTTTGAGCAATGAGCTCATGAAAAGATTAATGTAGCAGTTTTAAGAACAGTCTCCTATAAGACTATTTTGTGTTGCTGTTTAATAAGACTAGTTTAATGGAATTTACAATAAATCAGTTATGAACAGGATGGCATATCATTCATACATGATAATGTGATATGCACAAATATAATCAGTCAGTGAGAATCCTATAGAAGTAGGAGAGGAAAGGGGAAAGAAAAGGAAGGGGGTGGATAGAAGGGAGGGCGACTGAGGGAGATGGTGGTCGAAAGTAATCTTCCTAAAACATAGGTCTGACTATGTCACTCCTCCATTCCAGTGACTCCCTATTCCCTCCTGGATCAAATATCAAATCCTCTGTTCGGCTTCAAAGCCTACCTTGCACCTTTCTAGCTTTCCCATCTTCTTATCCCTTACTCACCCCTACAGGGGTTTGCATCCCCCTGGGAAAATTGGTGGTGGTAGAGAAGCACTTTTCTGAGAAGAAAAAATGATAAGATCTAGAGTTGAAAGGGACCTTAAAGATCTAGTCCAGAGGCGGAGAACCTAGGCCTCAAGCAGCCTGCTAGGTCCTCGAGGCCCTTTGACTGAATCCAAACTTCACAAAACAAATCCCCTTAATAAAAGGGTTTGTTCTGTAAAACTTGGACTCAACCAAAAGGCCACACCCAAGGACCTAGAAGGCCACAGGTTCCCCACCCTCAGCTAACCCACTTCTTTTGCATATAAGTTTCACAAATTCACAAAGAAACTGGCAGAGCTGAGATTCAAACTCAGGTCCTCTGATTCCAAATCCAGGGCCCTACCTACCATACCCCACTGGCTCCCAAGTAGGATCATAATACGCTTAATTTATAGAGCATTAAGAAAAAAAAGCAGTACTTTTTCATACATTAAATGATTCTAGTCTTATAATACTCTTAAGAAGTAAATTAAGTAATATCATCTTTATTTCAAAGATGAAGAATTAAGCACAGGAAGCTGAATAACCTGACAAAAATAATACCTCACTATTTATGTAGTAAAGTTTTGAAAAGCACTTTCCAGATCACCTCATGCTAAACCCATTTTATTGAAGCTCAGAGAAGTTAAAGAGTTCACCTTGAAGTCAAATGGGATTGGCTCATTTTTGGAAGAGAAACAAGAAATCCAAATTTTTACAAATAGTTCTCTTTTCACTAGACTATTTGGTCTTTTTCCTCCTTCCTTTTGTCCCTTTCTTTTCCCTTTCTTGATTCATGTCTTTTCTCTGCACCTATTTTTCTTAGTCCTCGTGTTGTAGAACTAACAAAGCTATGTGCCAGAGTTCTTTCTGAGAAGAAGTGTCTGGCTTGAGAAAAAGAGGTGCTAGATAAATGAGTTTCATTCTCTTGGCCACATGCCATGTACTCCTGGGTTTTCTGTGCCATAAGCCCCTGGCACCACTGCATAGACAGTGAGAATATGCACAAATGCACCATCACGTTTTCCACCAGAATTCAATAATCCAAGAAAAGAAGCCTAAGAATATGACATTAAAGGGAGTGTAGCTCTCCTGACCTTAAAGTTTTTATTTCTCAATTCAGGCTTAATTGATAAGAAATGTTAACATAAAAGTATCATCCAAATTTAACAAAGTCAGATACTCCCAGAAGTTTCTAAAGGCACTTTTCACACCACTCCACTAAAATTTCTTCAGTGTAGCTTCAATCAGCAAGCACACAGCCCCTGTGTTTCTCTTCATAGTTGTGAAAGGTCAATACTTATGATCAAAAAATGTTAAGAAAAGTTTTCACATAAAACTCACCACGCAACAGGTTGGACACTGTGTTTTGTAGGACAAAAATTTTCTTATACAAAGAGAACAGTCTAAAAGAAATAAAAATGGCATAAAATCAGTCCATTAGCATGTATTAACAAGACAAATTTGACTTGTAACAAAACTTCAATCAATCCATCAACAAGCATCTATGAACTACTTTTCGATGCACCAACCACTGTGCTAGGTGCTGGGATACAAATATAATAAATTAAACAATCTCTACTCAGAAGGAGCTTAAATTTTAATGGGGACACGAGAAGGATATATGGGCATTTACAGAATAAATATAAAGAGCATAAACACAAATACAAAGTTGCTATGTATTCATACCAGTAAGTGAAAAAGATAACTCTGAGAATGAAGAAACCAAATATTATAATCTCAAATTTATAGGTAGAGTAGAATTTAATGGACTTAATGCTATAGCTAAAATAACTAGACACCAATTTAAGCCCTTAACAGTAGTTCAACATTAACTGCCAACATGTTAATGCTGGAAGATTTCAGAAGACACTATTTTAAGAAAGTATCAAGATAACAACTGTTTTAGTAACTTACATTTGTTGTATCTCTGTAAACAGCAATACCTTGATTGTATCTTAGGGGCCTTGACAGTCAAAGTTACTGATTTGTTCAAGTTTGACATTACAAATGTATGTTGGAACTGTTTTTCCTTTCCCTTAGAATAAGTACTCTGTTCTTGATGTGCAACTTTAATGTAATACGTGAAGACATACATAATTGCTTAGAATGCCCTTGGTAGGGCACATAAGCACCCATAATCTGTTAGTTTGGATTCTTGACTGGAAGGGGAGTCCACGGTGGTCAATAATCTTTCTAACCATTTCTTGACATATTAATAAGTATGTCTTTAATAGATCAGAATCTTAAAACACAACATGGAGAAACTATGTCTGGTTTTGCTTTGATAACTATAAAGTTCACTAACAAGGAATAATTCTGGTATCCATGATAGCAACAAGAAGGTCTCAAGAATCTACACTTAGACAAAGGATTGCCCAAGGTAGAGCAAGAAGAAATTATACAGGAAAGAGTATTGTGAATTATCAATTATCTAATATCAGGTTGGTTCTCAATTCAATTAAATTCTAACAATTATTAAGCCCCTCCCATATATACTGGACATTGTGCCAGATTAGTGATATAAAGATTAAAAGATGACAACCTCTAGAATTAACAGTCTAGAAGAAGGATAACACTTGTAACAAAAATAATTATGTTAGAGTGTAGGTGAGATTAAACAGAGAAGAATGACAAACTTGGGAAGAAAGGGACCATTTCTAGCTAAGTTCATAGGTTCATAACTTTAGAAGTGGAAGGGGCCTCAGAAGTCGTGCAGTCCAAGGGTTCTTAATTTGGGGTCCAGAGACCCCCACCCCAGTACCATGGATAGATTTCGGAGGGTCTGTAAACTTGGATGGGAAAAAAATTTCATCTTTATTTTCACTAAACTCTAACTGGAATTATGCTTCCCTCAAATATGAATTTTAAAAAATAATAGTCTGAGGAGGCATTCAGAGGCTTCACCAGATTACCAAAGGAGTCCATGACACAACCTCTGATCTAGTGCAATGTATGAAGAAATGCCCCCAAAGGTGAGTGATTTGCCTTAGGTCATATCCAAAACAAGTGACAGAGTAAGTTGAAAAATAGGGATTGAATCCCAATACTCTAAAACTAAAGTCAGTGTTCCTTCCATTGCACCACAATGGGAAAATTTCAGAAAAGTAGCACCAGCGGGATCTTGAAGAAAATGAAGAATTTCAGTAGCTGGAAATAGGGACAGTGTCTATATCAGCCATGAGGCAAGTTTCTCCTCTCTTTCCTCAATATGCTTATAGGAATAGCCCCTATGTCCCAGAGTTATAATGAGGATCAAATGAGATAATACTCATAATGCACTTTGCAAGCCTTAAAAAGTGTATATAAATGCTATCATTGTTGTTGTTGGCATAATTATTATTATTAACTTCCCTCCAGACTGAGTGTATTCAAGGAAACTACTTTAGGAATGTTCAGACTTCGAAAAAGAATTAGATAACCTGGTCTTCAATAAACCCAACAACATCATTTCCTTGGAGAACACCCTATTAAACACTAACTGCTGAGAAATCCAAAAAGCAATCTGACAAAAATTAAACTATATATCAAAATGAACACAAAATGGATATAAGGATAGGGAACTGACTTGTAATTTCATTAGTTTAAGAACTCTCAGATAACATAACTCGTCTATCATTACAGGTGGGTACTTTCTCTGCAATGCATAGTCTTAGCACTGAGTGCTTAAGTGACTTGCCCAGAATCATAGGCAGTATGTGTCAGAAACAGGACTTGAACCAAGTATTTCTGAGTCTAGGGCAGCTAGGTGGTACAGTGGATAGAGTGGCAGGCCTAGAGTCTGGAAGACCTGAGTTCAAATCCAACTTCAGACACTTACTAGCTGTGTGACCCTAGACAAGTCACTTAACCCTGTTTGCCTCAGTTTCCTCATCTGTGAAATGAGCTGGAGAAGGAAATGGCAAACCACTCCAGTAACTCTGCCAAGAAAACCCCAAATGGGGTCACAAAGTCAGACATACCTGAACAACAATTACTGACTCTTGAATAATAAAAGGGACACCATAAAAAAATTAGAAGAGAATTAAATCAGCTATAACTAGAGGAGAGAGCTCTCAACCAAACCAGTACATACGCCTTCCTCTCCTAGAACACTGCCACCACCCTGGTGCAGGCTCTCATCACCTCATGCCTTGTCTACTGCAATAGCCCGCTGGTGAGTCTGCCTGCCTCAAGTCTCCTCCCCACGCCAGTCCATCTTCCATTCAGCTGTCAGACTGATCTTTCTAAACTGCGGGACTGACCATAGTACAGCCATATTCAATAAACTTTAGTGGTTCCCTACCACTCCCAGGATCAAACATAAAATTCTGTTTGTCTTTTAAAGCCCTTCATAACCTGGCTCCTTCTCACCTTTCCAGTCTTCTTAGACCTTACTCCCCTTGGCATACTCCTAGATTCAGTGACACTGGACTCCTGCCTGTTTCTTATATAGGACACTCTGCTTACAGACCCCAGACATTTTCACTCACTGTCCCTCATTCCGAGAATGTTCTCCCTCTATCTCTGCCTACTGGCTTCCCTGGCTTCCTTCAAATCTCAGCTAAAATCCCACTTTCTACAAGAAGTCTTTACCAATCCTCCTCCTCTTCCTCCAGCTCCACCCCCAATGCTAGCCTTCCCTCTGAGATTACCTTCAGGTTACCTTGTTTATATCCTTTTTGTACATAGTTGTTTGCATGTTGTCTCTTGCATCAGATTGAGAGCTTTCTGTATCCCCAGCTCTTAGCACAGTGCCTAGCATATAGTAAGCATTTCATAAATGCCTGTTGACTTGACTAGTGATAAAGGTAATCGTAAAAAATAAAATGGGGGGGTGGAGCCAAGATGGCAGATGGAAAGTAGTGACTTTCTGGAGCTCTCCCCCCAAGCCCCTCCAAATACCTATAAAAAATGGCTCTAAACAAATCCTAAAGCAGCAGAACCCACAAAAAGACAGAGTGAAACAAATTTCCAGCCAAAGACAACAAAGCCAAAGCTCCTACATCCAAAGTCTCCAAGAAGAATATGAATCAGTCCCAGGCCTTGGAAGAGCTCAAAAGGGATTTTGAGACGCAAGTAAGAGAAGTAGAGGAAAAACTGAGAGTTTTGCAAGAAAATCATGAAAAACAAGTCAACAGCTTGCTAAAGGAGACCCAAAAAAATACTGAAGAAAATAACACCTTAAAAAATAGCCTAACCCAAATGGCAAAAGAGGTCCAAAAAGCCAATGAGGAGAAGAATGCCCTAAAAAGCAAAATTGGCCAAATGGAAAAGAAAATCCAAAAGCTTACTGAAGAAAATACTTCCTTAAAAATTAGAATAGAGCAATTGGAAGCTAGTGACTTTATGAGAAATCAAGACACTGTAAAACAAATCCAAAAGAATGAAAAATTAGAAAACAATGTGAAATACCTCATTGGAAAAACAACTGACCTGGAAAATAGATCCAGAAGAGAGAATTTAAAAATTTAAAAATTATTGGACTGTCTGAAAGCCATGATCAAAAAATGAGCCTAGACAACATCTTTCAAGAAATTATCAAGGAAAACTGCCCTGATATTTTAGAACCAGAGGGCAAAATAGAAATTGAAAGAATCCACCAATCTCCTCCTGAAAGAGATCCCCAAAGGAAAACTCCTAGGAATACTGTAGCGAAATTCCAGAGTTCCCAGGTCAAGGAGAAAATATTACAAGCAGCCAGAAAGAAACAATTCAAGTATTGTGGAAACACAATCGGGATAACACAAGATTTAGCTGCTTCTACATTAAGAGACTGCAGGGCATGGAATATAATATTCCAGAAGGCAAAAGAGATAGGATTACAACCAAGAATCACCTACCCAGCAAAACTGAGTATAATCCTGCAGAGGAAAAAATGGTCATTCAGTGAAATAGAGGACTTTCAAGCATTCTTGATGAAAAGACCAGAGCTGAATAGAAAATTTGATTTTCAAATACAAGACTCAAGTAGAACATGAAGAGGTAAACAGGAAAGAGAAAATCATAAGGGACTTATTATGGTTGAACTGTTTACATTCCTGAATGAAAAGATGATATTTGTAACTTATGAGACCTTTGTTAGTATTAGGGTAGTTGGAAGGGAAAAAATTATATGTATGTATATATAGATATAGATAGATAGATTGATAGAGGGCACAGGGTGAGTTGAAGATGAAGGGGTCATATCTGGAGAATAAAATTAAGGGGTGAAAGAGGATTATACTAGGAGAAGGAGAAAAGGAGAGGTAGAACGGGGTAAATTATCTCACAAAAAAAACAGAAAAGAAAAGCTCTTACAGTGGAGGGGAAACGGGGGAAGGTAAGAGGGAATGAGTGAATCTTATTCTCATAGGATTTGACTTAAGGAAGGAATAACATACACACTCAATTGGGTATGGAAATCTGTCTTACTCTACAGGAAAAT